ATAATCATTGGGGTAGCTATAAGGGTCAACCTGCAAACAAAACGAGAGAGTGAACAATGATCAGTCAGACATATTAACATTAAAATGCAGGATGAGTTTTGTAATGAACAAAGGCAATGAAAATGAAGTCGAATTATGGCGATGCTCCACTGATTAACATCAACACATTATTTACACTTCAGTTTCACAAACACGCACACTCGCCTCTTCCTCTTCTATCGGGTTAACGTTACTAGACATGATGAAGTTTTATTCTTCCAATTGGTGTTTAATCCGATAATAAACCTTTCATAAACGTCACAGCTACCGCAAAGCACGCGTGGAGGAGAGAGAGGAAGTCCACTGCGCACACTTCCGGTGACGCAGTCGAAGCGCACAAGGGATTGTGGGCCAGTGGCGGAATCATTTGGCTGAATTGGAAATGCTGGCATCCTACTACTACACAAGACTTCATTCAGACGCACTTTTTAGACACTCAGATCAAAAACATCTGATAGGTACATCCTGACTAGCGCAGATCATTTATTTTTAAACCAGCGACTTTATACTGAAAATGTCTTAGCCAGACAACAGACATAAACATCATCAAACAAGACAAATAAAATAAAGAATAGGAAATAAAAGAATATAATCAAATAAATAAGTGCATAAATAAATCCTGAAAAATATTCCTCTATTAAATAACAGAAATTCAAGGCATTTACTGTGAAATATGTAGAAAGTTGGTAAAGTTTTCAGAGATCTATTCTTATGTAAAAAAAATAATTGTCCTAGGATACTAATTATGGTAACTAAATTACATGTTTCATTGTTTTTTCATAAATATACCAAATGTCACATTTACCTTTTTTTTCCTTTTAATTCAGATAAATTGTCAAATTTAGGAAATCCTCCCAAAATGCACAAGCAAATTTACAATCATAAAATCAACTGACACATAATAATCCCTTACCAATAATAATAAAGACATGTATAACAACACCAAAATAATGATACTGAGGAACTTCAATATCCATTAAATTCAAAACTAATAAATCTAAATCATCATCATTATTATTATTATTATTAAACCCGCACATTGCCACTTTACCAGCTGTTTTTATGGTGAATGTTCTCTGATATTGAGCTGCATTTCCACATGTGTCCTGTAGATAGCTCTAATGTTCCTAGAACTGAGGATTCACATCTGCCCATCAGTTTCACTGGAGCACTTTGCAGCTGAATTGTTTTTATTGGCTTTTATAATGAGGTTTTTCGTCAACTAATGAAACGCCATGGATTATTGCGATTTTGTCAACAACAAGACACCCAATCACTCAATATCTAGTGTAGGATAATGAAGAGCTGATGCTTCACTCAGCACTAGTGAACACGAGAGGCAAAAATAGAAATAGTGTGCCCTTTGAATGAACAGTCCTCTGAAATCCCACATGTGTAGTTTTGTCTCTGCACTCGTGGGAATGGGGGCTGTTATGAGTTTCAATAACTGCTGCCACATGCCTACTTATTTGGCTTGAAGAGAATTGGAGAAATGCTGTTCAAAGTGCTTTGAATTACTTTAAGCTACTCTGGCATGTTAGTGCAAACAAGCCAAGGTGTTAAAAAAATTAAAAACACACGCACAATGAGATACCAGAGGAATTTTAGGGATGATGATGATGGTGGTGTGATGACGATGGCGTTCAACAACTGATTATTAATGTTGGTGCTCCTGCTGAAGATGGTTTTCTGTGGATGAAAAGTTTAAATTAAGATGGGAAGTGTTAAACAACAACACGTTACATAGATCATGTGTATGTACCCTTACCAAAAAAGTAGTATACTGCAAGTTTATTTTATTAAGTATACTTAAGTAAAGTTCAAGTATATTTTTAAGTATACTTTATGTAGCAAGTATACAAATATCAGTGTACTAGTAGTATACTTGTAAGGGTACTATTTCAATACTCCTTGGGACTAAATTGGCCCACTTTCTAGTATATAAAAGTATACTTTTAAGTATAACAGTAGTAAGCTTTAAGTACACAACTAGTTTACAACAATATTTTTAGCTTGTACTGCAACTATACTACAAGTGAACTTATATGAATACTGATTTTCTAATTAAATACTTGTAGTAGCATTTTTAGTACACTTTGAAGTATAGTCTTAGTAAACTACTAGTTTAGTAGTTTTATACTGCAAGTATACTCGTAAGTGTTCTTTAAGTGAACTTTACATCATACTTTAAGTATAATACTATGTCCCTGTTTAGGTATTAATTTGTATATATTTTGTTATATAAATATCTGAACATACAAAACACCAAAAGAAAGAACAGGGTATCTGCTTGTAAACAAAAACATTTTATTCTAGCTCCATGCATTCTTTTTTTTAAACACTTGAATGTGGGTAAGTTTCATAAATAATAATAAAAAAATGAATAACATTTTGAACAAAAAGCTGAAAAAAAACTATGAATTGGATTCAGAACGATAATCAAAACGTAGATAGAGTCGATCAACACCCCAAAGCTTGACAGTCATTATTACCTCTTCAT